ATTCGGAAACATAAAAGATTTTAATTGCCATGTCATCGACTTAAGTACACTGCAATTAAAATCAAATTGAAATTTTCAACGTTTGTCCTTGTCAAACATTTTCTCAACATTAAACACTAAAACAAAAAAAAAGAATATAATAGAGAAATTTACAAAACAGCAATTAAGTTTTTCTTGTTTTTCTCAGTGTGCTGAGTTAGGGTAGCACAAAAATGAAATGAAAATTGGGAAGACATTTTGGGTACTCCAACAGCACTGAAATGAGTACCTGTGTCTGCACTCATATTGGGTTTTATCAAGGATCTTTCCGTTGGTGTGGCTTAGTTCAGAAACGCTCACATTGTTCATCTGCTGGTAACTATGTCATTTACATTGTCAGACAATGCTGCAAAGTGATTATTGTCGTACTTCATTTTTACTTTTTCCGGTATTGAAACTAAAAACTGTGGATCATCTCTTCATACAGTAGGTGGCAAGTAAATTCTTAGTTACATGCATCAGTTTTTGTACTTGTATTCCTTTGTTAGGTAAGTAAAATTTTATATTTGAAGGGTACCTGTAATGTTTTCGGTGTCCTCTGGCTATGTATTTGTCAAATAAATTGCTACTCTGTGCTGTTTGCTTCTGTTGCAAGTTGTTAATCCTTGTTCGCATTGCTTGTGAAATTTTTAATCAACTGAGATTGATCTATTCCATTTTTGCTTCAATTTAAGGCAACATTTTATCTTGTTTGCTTCAATTGCATTCTAACTAATGAAGGTTAATTCTTGTACACCTCTATTTTGCATTCTGCTTACATACATTTTTTAATGGGCAAGTGAAAATCTAAAAGTCAATCTATTTTTTTGAAAGTCAATAAAGTAGATTTTGCCTAAGACTTTGAAAGTTAATTGTTTTAGAAATGCATTAGAAATTTTGAATTTAAGATAAAAACTAATATTATTGGCAATAATTCGATTACATAGGAGCAGCTTTAGATTAGCTACAGTATCATCAAAGTAATTGCTGAGTTGCTACTTAAGATTATGAATTAAAATTGATGTGTTCAAAAAGTAATAGGAATTTTGAACTATACATAGCATGTATCTTATTTATCAAAAGACTCCTTATTGTGTATTGTTTGTATTACCAGTATTGCATATGTTTAATTTTATATAGCTGCGATGGTTAATTTGGTTTTGTTGCTGAAATAACCAAGACAAATATAGGGGGAGGACTTCTTATCAGATCAGACAGTTTGTGTGAAATTTTCCACACAATTATTTTTATTATTATAACACAAACTAGTCACGGAGGCGGAAATATTATATCGTATCTGTTCTTAACAGCTTAACGTTTGATAGACTCTCAATTGGTGGACAGTACCAGCATACAATCATCAGGTTAAGAATAACACAAAATTTTCAAAGAAATAGTAAAGTAAGTGATTAATACATTTTTTAAAAATACTTTTACTATATAAATAGTTTCATTGATTTGAAAATAAAATTTAATGATAAATTCAAATCGGAAATAACTATTGAATATTTTTCTGATATATTTTTCGAAATATCATTCAATGGCAATGTCATAAAAATGCGTTGAATGTGAGGTGCCCGACAGATTAATTTATTTAAAAATACTTTTAAAAATATTTATTTAATTGACCTATAAATTTCAATTTTTAAGTAAAATTTTTTATAAATACCTATCACAAATAAAAAATAAAAATTTTCAATGTATTGTTTAAAAAAAATCATTTGTTAAAAATAAACGACTAATAGTATCTAATATAATATATTAATACATTAAAACCTCAAGCTACATTCGGAAAATGTCATATAAAACATGTTTTCGATCCAATCAAATAATCGCAATTTGTATATGTATATAGTGTATATCTTAACAATGTAGTATGACTACTAGTATTTCTTAATGTAAGTAATAAAAAAAATCGTACCGGTGAAGTGATGCATTTTAATATTTAGTTGCTTAAACTATTTATAAAATACTCAATGAATTAGCTTAAAAATGCAGTTAAAGTCTAAGAATAAACTCTCAAATAAGCCTGTATGTCCTAGAAAAATACCTAAAGATTTGTTACCGAGGTCCGGATTTTTTTAGTTTGTGTTATTATATGATTATGATTATTATTATTAATATTCATAGTGTTATGTTAATAATATTTTTATTAATTATTATATTATAATATTATATTAATACTGTATCTTATAAAAAAATTCTTTCATATTCCAGGTGAAGTTCCTCTTGGTCAAAATCTGAACCGTTTTTATAAGAATATTACTACTTTAGTCTAAAGTCATCATCAGGAGACTAATACTTGATACTTGATATTATAAAATACCAATATTCTTATTTTGTGTTGTTTTTTTAGATGTCACTTATTAATTTAAAAATATATTTTCTGTTAGTGTTTATATCGCTTTTAAGTGATTTTGAAATTATTTGCACTCTTTAAACACCATAAACTTAAATATTTTAAAGTAATAATTTAAGAAACGCATATTTACTTTATCATTATTTCAGTTGATTTACTCGGAATAAAATAATAATTAAAAAAATTATTTTAATGATTTAAGGAAAGATACACTTTTCTTAGCCAAAAGATATTTAACTCTAACATTGCTAGATACACAAACTGAATGCATAAAAATGAATATTCTGGGAATATTGCACATTCGATACATGTGCATTGTGCATAATGACCAAAAATTCAATCAGGCATTACTAACATATGTGGAATTATTTGCATACCAAAGGAAATTTACTATAAATTCACGTCGAAGCACTGGATATACTTTGAAATGCAATGAAATAGGTTCATAGTTGCAATTATTCAATACAAATTTATTTCACAAATTTATTTAATGAAAATTTAAGCAATACACAATCATTAAAGAGTACAAATTGATTTAAATACATATCGATTTAAAATTAAATTAATTAAATTAGTATTTATCGCGACATAATTAAATTGACTTTTATTAAACGATTATTGTGATTTAATTTTGTATGTTTATTCGTTACAAATGCGTTTTAAATTTGTTACTAAAATATGCATTCCGCTTATATACAATATTTTTAAATTGCTTTTAATTTTTGATTTGAAATGATTGATCACGTAGAGTTTTTCAATAAAATTATCAATCAATACTGCGTAAATCACTGTGTACCCCTGAGTGATTTATTTGCAAAAAGTTAATACTTGCACTATATTCCTCGTGTGATTGTCTCTTATTCATACGAAAACTGAGAATTTTTGTTGTAGAGTGATGGATAACTGTCTGGCATGTGTCAAAGGAATATTAGCATAAATATAAAGTTTATTCAAAGTACTTAATTACTTAGAAATGGCTTAGAGCGTTAACTTTTCAAAAGTTATTTGTGTCACATAAAGATACAATAAACTCAAAGATTCATTTAGTTATTACTTTAACATATTTAACTAATAATTAATTACTTTCATATACATAGAATATAATAACAGTTCAAAAATTGTGAAGGTTTGAATGTATTTGTTTTAAATAATTTAAATACGTTTTACATTGAAAATGTCAAAGTAGTTACAAATTACAAATAATAATTTAATAATTTAATTTTAAGTAGTTATTTTGGTGTAAGATTATTGACTGAAACATATATGTACAATGCTCCTCCATGAATTGATATGATTTCATGAGGTGGTTTTTGAATTTAGTTACGTAGATAAATCAGTGAAATGATAGCAGGGTCGAATCCTTCTTTATTAGTTAAGTAAACTGGGTTAATTCCATATTCCTCGTAATTATGAGTAGAAAGTTGGTGTTTTGCAATCAACTAAAAGCATTGATAAATGTAAGTACCCGGCTAATATTTAATACTTATGTTTAAAATATCGTTGAATAAATTGAAGAAAGAGGCGCCCAAAGGTTTTAACCGGGAATTGTGTAAACTGGGCAAAGATAGAATGGCTGTTTCGGTGTCTCTTTCTCCCCGTACACTGTGGGGGAGGATTTTAATTAGAATATCGAAATCTGGAATTTTTTGAACCAGTAAAGATATCCAATTTAAATTTTCCTTACATATAGTTTTTGAGATGGACTTGGAATTCTTCTAAATTTTGGTGCCAATTATGATAAACTTTTTCATTTTTTTGAGTATCTAAAACTCTATAATAGATAGAAAAATAAAATTCGGTATACTAAATACTTGTACTATATTACTAATGTTCAGAAAATTTCATGAGATTTCGCTCACTGAAACAGACACACCCCACAAACAAAATTTTCATAATATGATTTATTTATTTTTTTAAAAATTGTTTGCTTCTCTATGTACAATATATGTATATATATATATATTTATTTAGTATAAAAAAATAAAACTTTGTACGAAAAATGAGAGTGGTCCTGGTTATCGGAAGGATATGTGCCTAAACATAATATGCAATAACCTCCTTGTTTTGCTTGAAATGTGAAATAGAAATAAATAAATTATTTATAAGATAATAAGTGTTTTTTGTTTTGTTAATTTATATAATTATATGAATAGTATATCGAAATTATAGAGGGAAAGTCAGTTTTCAATATTAGTTGAAATACAGATTATCAATAAAAAAACGACTCAAAAAGTCTGGAGTTAAAATGTTCAAATATTTTTTTGATAGCTGTCATGTGTTATAAAAACTAGCCTTAATATTTTTCGAAACCTAAATTTTAAATATAAAATATACTAAATAGGAGAATCTTTATATATAAATTTTTCTTTATTTATGTTTATTTTCTGTACCTCCAGTATTTTTTCAACTAAATAAAAACTTTAGAGCTTGAGGTTTAGAAATATGAATATAAGTAATCAAAAAAATTATTATTTAAGAAAATATTAATTTTTATAATAAAATCTTGTACAACTAAAATAACTAATAAGGGTCATATGTACATAAAATTAATTTTTGTTACTATATGAAACAACAGGTTGCCCATAATATAATTGTTTATATCCTAAAACTAAATTAATCTTAATTAATCTCAATAGCTTGTGAGCTATCAATAAATAATCATCTAACAATTGAAAGCATTTATCTTAATAAATTTAGTTTTATTTAAATTCAAATGCGCACTGCTTTTCTTACACAAGTGCATTTCTTAGCCATAATTAACATTACTCATACGCCACGGTGAACACAGCAAGTGTTTCTCGTTTATTTAAAATTAAAAAGAAAATATTTATTTTCTTAATTTGTTTTTAGAACACAAGTTTCTACAAATAAAAAAACAAAACATTTTTTGTTGCTTGGCTGTTGGCAACATTTTCAATATAAACGACAACGAGTACGACGTTTACGTCAACGGCAACGCCAACGTCAATACTAACATGTGTCGTACAGCAAATGAGCACCATTAGCGCAATTTAGTTGTTTACTAAAGCAAACGCGATTCACTTAAAAGGCAATTAATTTAACAGACACGTACTTTGTGGTCGTTTAGCTGCAAAATACGTAATGACAAGCTCTCATTGTGTGTGTTGAAATGCACACATCCATAAATAAGCCAAGAAATGCACAGAAGCACAGATGTACGCCCACGTTCACACCTACATCCACATCCACATCCACATCCATATTCACTGCTACTACCCCTTCATACTGCCACTTGCACATATACCAATATTTACACAAAAATAACATAAACAGCTCTGCAGTATTTGCAGTATTTGTACAAGTGTCAATGTGTTTGTGATTTAATGTTTTTACTTTGTGCTGCGCTTCCTTCAGCCAGCCGTCGATGCAGCCAGCCAGCCAGCTAGCATTGCCTTTGACACTTATGCGAAGCTACGATCCAAGAAAAGTAAGCTGCTGTGGTGTATTTTTATGGTTTGACTAGAGAAGCTGCTTTGCTATGTGTCAAAGCAGCTCTCTTTGGATGTTGCATTTAGATTATTGACAATGCACCATATGGCAGCATGTGGGATATTAGTTAAAATGCTTGTAGTGCAACATGACGCAAGTGACTTTGACTTTATAAGCTGCTGTGACTAAGTGTGTGCATTCTATCGAGGTGTCTGCTTGATGTCAAATTTAATGAAGATTATTTTGACTATTTTGCTGGTAATTCGGTTATTGTTGCCATTGCTGTTGCTGTTGCTCTCACACGTACAGTTGATGCTGATGTTGATGCTGATGCTGTTGTTCCTGACGTGAAGCTGTTGATAAAAGTGAATTGCATTTTGCAAATTCTGTTTTTTGTTTTTTTTTTGAGAGTCCCCCACTTGATACGTAGTGTTAATTTTACAGTTCTATGATAAGGAACTTTTGGGTATAAGGTGTCATTCACCTTTATAAAGTAATTAATATGAAATCAGCTTTTGGATAGAATTTATTTAATGATTGCTAATGGTTGACACCAAAAAACGCTGTTGCTCTTAATTAAAGTAATTATATTGATTTACAGGGAAGAATTGTTTGATGTAGTGAAGACTTTGATGATTAAACACATGTAAAAGTTTTTATGTAAGGTAAAATAAATAAATAATATGAGAATATGTTTAGTTATACACACCTTACATATTTCGAAAATAATATTTAACGTATTCTACGAGTCCTTTTGTGTTTTTTTATTATGAACACAAATAAAATCTAAAGGAAAATGTTTATTGTGAACATAAACATCCTATATAATGCAATAATATTGTGACTTTTGTTAATAATCGTTCAGATAAATTTTGTTAAAAAATATCTATAATAACATTTCTATTATTTTCAAGAATTATATCATTCCCTTAGGTTAGGTTCGGTTCAGAAGGTGCGCTCTGACAGTTGTCAGCACTTCCACTCGGAGACATATATTGCCCATAGTGACGCCCACAAAAACTTTGCCAGGAGAGACGAGTTGCTAATCTTTGTTATCCTTGCTAAGCCATTTGGTTTTCCAGATGAACCGATAATTTTGCTTTCATTATCTCTTCCCAGCCAGTAAAGAAGTGATTTCCAAGACATTGAAGACAATAAGACACAGGAAGTGGTTGAAAGATTTTACATCCTCTTCATCTTGAAAACTCCTGCATAATTCACCATTTCCTTACTTAACGGGTTGTATTCAATTGATGGTCATCAATTGATAGAGCTAAAATATTGGATCAGTTTCGGAAAAGACCATATACCCAAATTGAAATATGAAGTAATCAAATATTTTTATTGAATTTTATTTGGAATTGGCTAGCATTTTGAAAGTGCTAATAGGTATTATAGTAATGTGAAAGCTATTTAGTTGATTCAATTCTAACAACTTTAAATGACAACAAGGTCACGAAAATTGGAATTTATTATAGAGACCAATTCACTTTATCTATGGAGTGGTCTATAAGTTAGAGTAATGGACAGCCGCTTTTTACACTACGACTAAATGAAATCTATATGCCGTTAAGTCGCAACGCTTGGTATCTCAACCAAACTTATTCGGCTATGTAAAATGTCGTTGATAAGCATCAACAGCTCCTTTAGAATTGGGAAGCACCTCTTCGAGCTATTTGATCAATATTAAACGAGGTTTCAAATAGAGTTTGTCATTATTGTGTGAATTTTGCAATCTTATGTTAGAAACGATAGTTTAGGCAGCAAATTGAAATTATATTCTCATTTTGTTAATAAGAACTCAGTTTATTATACAGTTTATACAGTTTATTATAATACTAAATTTGTAAATAGATTCCACAGTAAATAACCAAATAATATAGTTTTCAAGAGCAATTGTTAAACGCTCTACCCTGAGGAAGAAGTCAAATAAACTTCGAAACGTCAGCGATATTATAAACATAGAAGACTATATAAAAAAAAAAAGAAATAAAAATTAATTTAGAAGCTCTTATTTTATCTATTCAATTAAGCTTTTTTTAAAAAAGGAAATATATATAAAAAGCTCATAATTACTCCAAATATTATTCTTTTAATTCGCTTGAACTTTTTTTAAATTTTGTATAATATTTATAATATATTATTAGTATTTATAATATAAATAACAAAAATAATATTTTAATTTATTAACCTAGAACTATTCTAATAAATCTATAAATTTCTTTGAATTATAGTTTTAAATAATTAATTTAAAAATCTTCTTTAAGTACATAGTCTTCATAAAATAATTTCCTTCATGAATTTACATTCTGAACAGAAACCAAAATTCTGTTTTTGCTTAGCCAACCTTCATATTGACATGAATGGTCATTTAATTACCGTTTATCACACAATCCTTTATATACCACTGACTTTACTATGATTCATGCAGATTAAGTATCCTTTAATCGAGACCTTTTCGTTTAATGCTAAACAGTTTTATTATTGTATTTACCTGCATTCTCGATCCTCCTTACAGTTTTCAGCTACAATATGGCATGCTGGCGCTGGATGAAAATGTATACCATTTGGATTGAGTTGATTATTACTATCGGGCGGCCTTTGCGCGCATACAGGATGTAATTGCTCTTGTGCAATCATGCACATATCGTGACGATTCGTTGTTTTTCTACATGGAAGAGAAATATGAAAAAAGTTTACAATTTTCAAAAGCAATGCAAAACGCTGAGATAATTGTATATCAACACAAAATGACATAATGACACTTACTTGCATAGACAAAAGGCAATATCTAAATTCAAATCCTCATGGGGGCCTTTATAGAAGGCCTGCAATGAAGTCATGCATGCGTTACGATTGCAACGGTGTATTCCGCAATGCATGAGCATTGGTTGCAGGGATGATGAACAGGACGGATCTTCCCGACATGTGTCCAATGCTGTATGACAGGTACTCTATGCGGATTTCAGTAACGTACGTTTCGAATAGAATGTAGAATGATGCATGATGCATTTCATGGTACAAAATTCGTTTGGTAGAGTGGGTGGCGGGCAGTTGCATGCAAAAATATATGAAATGAAAACAAGAAAGAAAAAAAAATTTTTGAAATCAATGTCCTGATATACTGTTGGCCGTCTACTCAGATGTACGTATATGTAGCTTTTGCTGCACAACTGACTTTACTGTTTGTAGCCAATGTTACACAAATGAGCTTCAAGCAGTTTTCCAGTTGCTCAGCAGTGCTTCACACTCTAGGTTAAATGCTTTTGGCTATGTATAACGGCGGTTTTTTGTTGGTTTTTTTTTTTTATTTTGATTGACTTTTTCGGGTGCAGTTCATCATGCTTACCTGAAAGATTTGCTTGATTATTTCCGTTGAGAGGTCCACTTCGACATCCTGACCACCTATGGTATGGATTTGTATTATGCCAAATAGCAAACAGCAAATGAAAAGGAAAATATGGAAACGTGTCCAAGTGGTCGTTTGGATTTTTTATTTAATCGTTGTTAGAATATTTGAGTTTGTTATTTAAAGAGTTTTATATAATTTTTGGTTTTAAGAGTGTACGTGTTGCGGTTTTTTGGTTTTAAGATTTTTATGCAACCATTTTTAATTAATTTAAGTATGTCAGTATTTTCAGATTTTGAAAACGTGATTAGGCGTTGAGAAGCAGTAGATTTGAAAAGAGTAAAAAGGGAAATATGTAAGTTAAAAAAATATATAATAATTAACTTAAGTTAAAGCATTAAATAAATTATAATATAATATTTTATAATGAGAAGAGAATTTTTTCTAAAAATATTTGTTAAAATATTTAATTAGTTTTGGTAAGATATTCACTGTATCAACAACATTTGTAACTATCAAATTCATATAGATTTTCACTTTTAAATTAAATTAAGTAGAAATCAAGTAGATGGTTGAAAAATAATTGATAAATGTTTTTGGATAGTGTCAAAATCTAATAATAGTTCAAAAACTAGCGGATTATGATTTTAGCAAAATGATTTAGTCTAGTCTTAACTCCTGCATTTAGAATACAAGTGTGCGCAGTTATATTACAATGCATTCATTTGCTATAATTTACGTCACTCATACGCCGTGGTGAACACAAAAATGTTTCTCGTTTATTTTATATTAAAACAAAAACATGTTATTTTCTCGTAATGAAACTATTATTTAGATAATTTTTTCTTTGTTATGAATTTCCATTAAATTTAAATGAAAACAAAAAACACATAAATTAATTGATGTGTTAATAATATATATATAAATTATTAATATTTTGAGTTAAAGTTTAAACAAAAACATGTTTATAAATTAATATACAGTTTTCTTTATGTTAGTTAGTTATTTAAAAATAAGTTTAAATATATTAGATATTACTGATAAAATTAGATAATCTTTTTATTTTTAATTTTTAACGTATGATTTAAGTTAAACTAAAGCAGATCACACTTTAAGCACTAATGATTAATTATACTTTGTATTAGAAATAACGTTAGGCAATTGTAGTTAGTAAGACCTCAACCAACGTAAACAAATTGATGCTGATACAGTGTTTCAATATTTATTTACTAATAATACTGATATTTTTGTAACGAATTTATTCCTTCAAGTAATTCTTAATATTAATATTTATTTATATAAACAATGTTTTCACTAGATATACAATCATCCTAAGTACGAAAAATAATATTGTAAACACAGCGAAAGAAAATATTTTATTTTTTAAATAATACACACACTTATAAAAATAAAATAATTAAAATAATATATATAGAATTTAATAAATATGTTATCAAACTAATAAGATTAGCATATATTTGGAAACAAATTTTACTGAAATTCAAAGGACACTTTTCTGAAAATTGATTACTAGCAAAAGTTTTGCTAACAGCAGTTTACAGGAGCACTATTGGGTTTCTAGTTTTATATTAACCTAATGATTATTTTAAAATACACACACTAACATCTAAATATATTTATATATGTAAATGTTATGTGTTTTACTGTAGCTAATATATGGGATTAAGATAATTTTATATGACATTTGTAGTTATTTATATATTGTAATATTGTTCTTTTAATTTTCATTAATCATATTAAAAATAAAAATTTAGTTGTTTTAATAAAATATTTTTTGAGCTCTATTACATTTTTAACACTCATGGAAAATTATTAATTATGTTAGAATTATATAGTATTGCATTCTAAATAAAATATAAACATTCAGTTTGCTAGAAATGAAACACTACTCGAAAAATAAGATTTATCCAGATAATGGGTTTTTCAAATAAGGCGAAAACATTTTCATCAACGGAAATGGTTATGTTTTTGAAATGCATATGTCATAATTATGAGTGATTGCCTCGAAAGATGAAAAGATGAAAAATTTTTGTTTCACTATGACAAAAACCCCAGCTCTATTTATCAAATATTGTAACAGCAGAATTAGATGCACTACGTTAATAGATACAATTGTACATAACAGATTTGGCTCTAGAAGGAAATTTAAATCGAATTTGGGCATAGTTTATGTAACTGATGAATATTTCAAGGACCTGAAATAGTTTGATTTTTGAGGTATTTATATTTTCAAGAACAGGAAAGCTACCATGAAATTACTTATAAGTTTAATGCTATATTAGGAGCAAAAAGATAATGACAATTATGAAGTATTCTATTGTATCAGATCACAGTTATTTCGTTAAAATATGCAAAACTGATTAGCTGAATAGTTTAATAATATCAGAAATTTCGAAAATTTTTGGGGATGTTTGAGGAAATAAAATTCGGTTACCTGTGTGAATGACTCCATTTGTAAAAAGATACCTGATTAAAATATTTTTATAGTTTTTCTTCAAAAAATTAGCAGAGTTGAATTTCTTACGTCCTTTATAACAGCAAAATCATTAATAAGCATTTGTTGACTATTAAATCAGTTTATAATATTACAGCGGGTTCATTTCAAAATCCGTTTTCTGATATTTTAAACCAAAAAAGGAATTACAATAAAATAATTGTAGATTTTCAGATCTTGCAGGTATAGAACAAATATGGCATACTTAGAGGTAGAACTGCTATTAACTTTACTAAAACACAATTGACAATTTGTGTTTTGTTAAATTAACTAATTAGGTCATATATAAAGAAAATAAATCATTTTCTTTTTATTGTTAACGTTTAATAAATATAAACAAAAGAACGTTTGTTTAAACTACAAGTAACTACAAAAAAGTGACGAATGGTTTCTAATTTTTCAAAAATATATTTCAAAAATGCATTAAAGCATTTAATTGAAGCTGTCGAAGTAGGGCTCTGGTATTTGGATACCTAGTAGTCTTTGCATTCAAACATCTTTTACAAAATTTTTGGCAAAAAAAAGGAATTTTTCAACTTTTTCTAACAACAGTTTTTTTTCTTGGAATATAGAAAAAATCTAGAAATTCTATAATATTATTTATCACCGAAATCTAATCTAAACTGAATTATAATTTAAGAGACAACACAAGTAACAAGTAATCATTTTATTACTTTTATGTATCATTTTATAATTATTATTATTTAATTTTGAACACGTTTATTTTATTTAAAAAATATTTTTGTTCTTTCTATTGTTTAAAGTGTTTTTTTTTAAATAAAAAGTTAATTAATATCATTTTGTTCATAACTCGTAAGTATAAAGAGAATCCTAAATATAATATTTCCATGAGTGTTTTTTTTATCTACAAAAACTTTTTATTTGATATGTGTTTTTTGTTATACGTTTAATGTCTGTTAAAGTTAAATGGATTTATTAATTATTTGTTAAGAGTTCAATGTGCATACTTTCCTTTGAGCAATAAAAAATTAATATTATTTAAAATCTACAGCAAAATATATAAAAACTCAAAAGCAATAAAAGTAACTTTTTTTTGGAGTTAAAAAATAAAAGCAAAGTCAAAAAGTTACAAAAAAAAAACAGATAAAAAATAAAAATGGCATAATGCTTTAATTTGAACATTATATATATATATAAAATTAAATAAAAATAAGTAGCTTTGTGGAAATAATAAAATTATGAATTAAACGAATTACGATGAACTTCAGTTGTGTTTGCATTTTAAACACAAAATAAGTAAAATGGCGATGCAACAAAATGGCGAACGTTTCTTAAATAAAAAAAACGTTTATTGTTTTGTTAAATTTTTGTGACTGTTTAATATTTAATATTTGTATGAAACATGAAACTTTATGTATATATATAATATATTCATATATTTTTTGTATATTTGTCACGAAATGAATTTTTTAAATATTTGCAATGAAGTTTTGAAACGTTTCTCTTTATAAATATATATATATATAAATTTGATATATGTTTTGTATAAAACAGTGCGTAGAATTAAAAAAAATATTATTAGCGTGCCAAAATGTTTTTATATAACAAAATTTTGTTTTAAAAAGTATTTAATTTCCATTTAATATAAAATTTGCAAATTTTTATAAATTTTTATTAATATTATTTATAATATTAACAAGTAGATGTATATAAACAAATTGAAATTGAAATTTAAAAAGTTTTGTTTTAGCATTAAAATCAACATAACTAAGCAAATTTAAGATATTAAAAAATAATTTAAATAATTTTAGTAATTTTATTAATTTTATTAAAATTTATTTTTGAAATAACTTGCCAATTAATTTTCAAATAATTTTCTAGTAATTTTGAAAATAGCAAACTACGAAAAAATTTATATTAAAAAAAAAATAACCTTTGTATTGGTTGTTGTTGTTGCTGTTGCTGTAGTTTTAAGTAGTTTTTAAGTAGTAAAAGTAGTAATAGTTGTTGTTGTTATAGCGTATAATTGTACTTTAAGAAATTTGTTGTATTTGCATTTTAATTGCTTTCGTTGTTATAGAATGTTATTGTTTCAGTTTTATTTGAATTTATTTTCAATTTAATTATAAAGAAAATATTTGGTTTTGCAACTGAAAAAATTTTTAACCGCAACTTTTAATGGAAATTCACTAAAAATAAAATTGAAAGGAATATGGAAACCTGTTAGTTGCTCTGGGATTCACAGGACTACAATGACTTACATACAAAAGGTCATAATAAAAAAAAACTTAATATGTGGAATATATAAAAAAAAAAAAACGAAAAATAATGTTTTTAAATAAATTGATATGGTAAAAAGTAGCAAAAAAAGAAAAATATACTCGTATTAGAAAAAAAAAGAAATAAAATAAAATTTTGACACACAAACTGTAAATGTGTCACACTTATTTGATAAAATTTTAATACGAAATTGTATTTCTGTATTATTTGCTTATGTAGCAAATTCTGTTTGTACTTTGTTTTTCATATATATATATATATATATTATATATATCATATACACATACTTTGATAATAAACATCGCCATTTCCGTTTCCGTTGCTATTGCCATTGATGCCGCCATAACCAATTGCTGTATCGATTACATCGTATGGCGGTTCATTTCCGGCTGCTGCGGCTGCTGCCATATGCCGATGATGAAACTCGCTTACATTAAATGGATAGGTTAAAACGCCGTGCATGGTATTGAGAGAAGTCGAAACAATGGCTGGATAGTGTGTGCTTGTATCGGTTGCTATAAGTGGCGTATCGATAAGCGCCAAATTGTCATCGAACATTTTTTGATGCAGTTTATCGTCCATGCCCATTATTCTAACTGTAATTTGAAGGAGTGAGAAGTTGGGATTTTTGGTTTTGTATTTGTTGTAGTAACACACGTTGTATCTTTTACACAAATATTTTTAATTATATTTATTTTATTTTAGTTTTGTTAATTTTTTTTTATATATAATTTACGTGGCTTGAAGCGTTGTAATTTTTTTGTTTTTGTAATTTTACACTACATTTTCAATAATTGCATTGCTGTCTTATAGTACGAAATAATTTGTAAAAAAATAAATTTAGAAATCAAAGTTACAAAAAAAAACAAAAAATTTATTTATAAAAATTATTTAAAAAGAAAATGCAGCATGGGTTTAAAAGGTAGTAAATAAATTGAACAATATTTATTTAGGACGTGCATTGATTTGAGAAAGTTTATATATATTAATGGGTGCAATAACGTTTGAGATATGCGAGTAGAATTTTATTAAATAATACATATATGTACAGTTACTTTTAGCAAAAGTTTTATGATAAAACTTACCTTTTACTGAAAAATGAAATAATAATAAACTTAATTTAAAATTAATCACTTTATTATTAAATAAACAAAATTAAAAAAATGTTATACAAATAAATTCAATTTTTGTAATAGAATTTTAACTTAATTATAAAGCATGCATATTTTATAACTAATACAAAGTATATAATAAAATAAGAATCTACAGAATTTTTTAATACATTATTTACATATTACTTTACAAAGATCAGCTGAACATCAAGATTATTTAGATAGCAATTTTTTGTTTATATATAAATGAGTTTTAAGTATTATTAATGAAAATTAGTCACATAGTCCACTGATAGAAAAGTATGAGAAATAAATAGTTAATGAAATTATTTTATATTAATAAATTATTTTAAATATATAATAATAACACATAAATAATTTAAAATGTTATAATCATCACGTAATTTATGGTTTTATTATTTTTGAGAATTCAATTAAATAGTTTACTTAATAATTCCATTAACTAAATATTAAATTGTTAATTAATAAAAAGTTTAATTGCTTAAAAATTAATGTAAATTTTAGGTTTGAAAATAAGAAAATTAAAGGCAGAAATAAATTATTTCAATATGAAATTTATTATTTATTTATAACATAAAATTCTTAATTTTTATTAATTAATAATATGAAATATATTCAATGGTAAGTTTTAAACGCTAAAATTAAACTTATCATTTTTGTTTTAAATTCATTTCTTTTTAATCAATTAACATATGTGCTTGAATTTTTATTTAATCGACTAAAATTGTTTATAGAACATTTTTATTAAACATTCATGAAACACATTCAACAATGTATCATGTTTTTTAATGTGTATTAAAGTGAATTGATAATATTTTATATCAAATTATCCTTTACTGATTCTCATAGACCATTAAAATTAATTGGATAATTTAATCTATAACTTATATATAATTTATAAAAGTATAAAAATAGGAAGCATTATGTAGAATATGGCATATTAAATTGCAATCTACTTCGGTCATACATTTGAAACCGAAAATTCCCTTTAAACTGATTAGTTTTATAACTACACATTATAAGAAGCATTTAATTATTAAAATATAAAAAGGTTTTTCGAACAGTAGTGAATTACAATAACAAAAATTTATTTCATATTATTTTAATTAAATGAATTTTTGCTGACCATACAACTGTTTCGAGTATTGCCAAACACCCACCGTCAGTGGTCTTGGAAATAGTTCATGTATTTAACTATTTGTAAATAATTTTTTGAGATTGTAAGTACCAGGAATCGAACTTGTATCCTGCAAAATTTGAAGCTGAGAGTTAGCGCACCTTAGTCAACTGCCCCAAAGCCGTAGTTGACTTTAATGTTCGTTTATTTTTAAGGAGTTTTGTTACTTTGCTATCTAAAATATATTTCTTATACAATAGAAAGTTTTAGAATGTAAGTTACAGCTTCAATGAGTTACAAAAACGTAAGCTAATCACATTTCACTAATTTCATCTTAACTAATAATTATCTTAATCTTCTAGTGTACTCTATTAGAAATATTGTATATATATCGTTACAAAAATTTTTCTTGCTCTACTAAATTATTCTAAAAATATTTACATAAACCAATGATCTGTCCCATTCATGCAGATACTATGGCTTACCCTAACTCCATGTAATCGTCATTGCTGCCTGACTATGGCTATTTTCGTTTGCATTTAATCCTTTTGTAACGCTTATCCTATATCAGGATTTATGCAACCACAGCATTTACTTATCTATTTCCAATTCTGTTCTATTTCTTTTGTGGCTTTTGATTTCTATTTTTGCCTTTCTGTAAACATAACAGAGCGTACGTTGCGTATTAAATACAAAATTATCATAAAACTCCTAAGACATGTACACATACATACACACCACTGCACACAGATGCCGATTTACAATACAATAACAACATGAGGAGGAGATCATGAGTTCTGGCATCCTTACCATCATACCACCATACCACAGTATGTATGTTTAACGTTTATTGTAAAGTAAATATTTGTATAGCACAAGTCCTGATGAGCTTTTACTTAGCTCATCACAGTGCTTAGCAATCAACTAGAAAAAACAGCATTGCCATCATTTGTTAACTGCCTTTATACTCACATAAGTATTGTGTTTCACTAGTCGTAATTGTTATCCTTGTCATAAGCACTTTTCGATAAGTGGTTTTTTTCAAGTATTTGTTACTGAGCTTGGATTGGATTATGTATGTAAGTAAATATGTAAATACAGTGTAATTGTCTTCGATAAACCATGGACATTTTTTTTTCAATTTATTTGAAGTTTTTTCCAGCATTTCTTTTGTGAAAAAAAAAACAGTAAATTATTAATTAAATTTGTGTTTGAGTTCACAATTGGGTCAAGTGAAATGAATTTTTAATAGGAATTTTTCTGTATTCATTTTTGAAAGTTTGTTGAACTTCAGAAAATTTTTATTATATATTGAAATTTTTGCTCTTTGTTTCAAATTTTTTATGGATGATGAAGCACGTAATATTAATAATATTAATTTATTTGATTTATAATTAAATTTTAAAAAATTTTCTAAATGAAAAATGAGGTGTATTTAAACTAAAACTAAAGTAAAACTAAAGTAATAGTATGTTGACGGAATTAGCAACTATGTTTGGTAAAGAGTATAATCCATTCAAAACAATGTACTTTCTTAAAAATTAATAATGTGATACTTACAGCAGAGTGCTGTTAAGAATACTGTTAATTTAAAAGATGGCACTTTTTGAAAAATTTTAACACTGCACTAACAACAGAGTACTGTTAAGAGTACTGGTAATTTAGAAGTATGGAAAATATTAATTAATGGAAATTTGTATGGAAAATATTAATTCAGGAGAAGTAACATTTTACTTTTTTTTATTATTATGAAAAAAGAAGGAATTGTGCACTGCGACCTAAAAGATCTATTGTGCCCCTTACTCGGGTAGGAGTCTTTCTCCAAGTCCGATTTCTTTAATGAAAGAAATGAAAGTATAGAGCCTACCTTTCCTAGTCTTGAATATTGATGATTCATAAAATATCCTCCTAGGTATTTCTTACGCTTGTGCATCAGTGCCGTGCACTTCCCAAGCACATGGTATACAGTTTCTCTCTCTTCTCTACAGTATCTGCAGTCAGAGTTGGATTGAATTCCTAACTTCGATAGGTGATTATTTAATCTACAGTGTCCGGTCAATAATCCCGTAATAATTTTTAGGTTGTTTTTTGATTGTGCTATGTAATCTCTGAAACGTTTTAGGTTGTAAGTCCCTAACAGCATTTTAGATTGTGAGAGTCCTGGTATTCTTTCCTAATAGAGTTCTCTTTCTTTTTCCTCTATACCATTCATAAGAATAGATAGAGGTGCTTTGTCTAGATTATTTTCAGTTTAAAAGAAAATCTTATTGAAAGAATTACAATATCTCAAAAGTTACATGGTAATGTCATTAATACTTTAATTGAAAATAATTTAACAATGTTTGTAAAATAAGAAAGAATTTTTTTAACAACATCATTCTAAAAATATATTGATGTTCTTATTAAACTTATAGACAATATAATACATTTGGTACTTAATACAAATTTGTTTTAAATTATTGCAGAAAAGAAACCAATTTTAAACCATTTACTTTATCATATATGCTTAATATGGGGAAGTAATTGTTATTAATCAAAAGTGTATAAGGGTCTTATAACATCACTCAGTTAACGATGTTAATAGTTTTAAGGTTCATTTTTAACATTAACATTGTCATCTTATTTAAGATTTGTTCTATTTCGTTATCTCGTTATCAACTTTTTACTAATACCTTGATATTTTTTTAACTTAATTTTTGCAATTAAGTAGGCCATTGAAGTTTCTGTGCACTTATAAGCTCTCTATGATCTACTGTTTTCCTCAATAAACTTATAATATCATACACTCAAGGATGTTAAAAAATTTAACGCCATTTAAGAATTATTTTCTATTCTTATATCTGGCCTACTTCAATGTATCCATGTCGGTAATTTAGCATTAACAACACTTTTTAACTCTTACAACATATCCTGTTTTAACAGATCTACAAATTAATTAATGATATTAAAAATTATATCTGTTAAAAGACAATGCCTGTTTACCTTGTTCTTCTTAGCTGTGTGCTTGTCGTTTGCTTAGTATTAAAAAATCTTTTTGAATTTTTTTCCAGCCCAATGTTCATAACATGAGCATTTCATATTGTTCTTCAGTCTACTTTAATATTTGCTTGTGATGGACTGACCACCAAAAATCCTTTTTGGAGTTCTCTTCAGCCCAAATCTTAAAACTTGAAGTTCCCATTTAAGTCTCTGTGCCTTAACAGATTTTAACCTTTTACTACTTGTTTAATATTAAATTTATTTGCTTCAAATTAAAGTATATCAAAAAAAAAAAAATATTTAATGTTTTTACATTACAATAATATTAAATATTTAATAAAAATAATCCAACAGTATGAATT